GAATAAGAGCCTCCGGAAAAGGGCGCTTTTTCCGGAGGATCGGGGCCAGTCTAGACGCTCTTTTCCGGCTTTTTTAAAAGCCGGAAAAAAGCGGCGGACATTTTTATTTAAATGCCGCGGGGGATATTTAAATCCCCCGCGGATTTCCCTACGACGACTGCTGAAATTTACATGCCCCTTCCGGAAGAGGGGCCAGTGTAGACGTAGCCATAGTGTTCAGACCTAGAAAACAGGTGTGTGTCCATTCTCTGAACTATGGGGAGCTGTAGATGTAGCGTTTGGATTCCAAGGATTAACTTGAAATCCAGAAATGAAGCTGTCCGTCACGTCAACCCCTTTAGATTCAATAGGCTTACCTGCTGTCCTGTGAGGAAGCTGGCCATCAGGTCAACCAATGAGTTTCTAGGGGTTTACCTGGTCTCCTGAAAGCAAGCCAGCCACCAGGTCCACCCTTTGGGAACCTTGGAGCAATCTCTAGGATCCAAGGTGGGGGACAGAGGTTGACTTGGTGTCCTGAAAGAAGGATGGACATTAGCTCAACCCGATTCAACAATATTGGTTTATCAGAGGTCCTGAAATCAAGGTGGCCGCCAGGTCAACCTGTTTGGATTCCAAGGGTTTACTGGACGTCCTTAAAGGAAGGTGGCCATCTGGTCAACCCAGTAAGATCCTATAGGTTTACCTAGTGGCTTCAAATGAAGCAGCCACCAGGTAATCCCCTTAGCTTCTATGGGGTTTACCTGGTCTCCTGCAAGGAAGCTGACAATCAGGTCATCCCCTTTGCATTCTCTGGGTTTTCCTGGGGTCTGGAAGCAAGCGGGTCATCAGGTCAAATCCACTGAAGTCTATTAGTTTACCTGGTGTCCTAAAAACAAACTGACCACCAGGTAAACCCTATTAGATCAGTTGACCTGCTGCCCTGAAAGCAAACCAGGTCTCTGACCAAACCTATGGCATGCCATGGGTCTAACTGCTGCCCAGAAAGCCACCAGGTCAACCCCACAGGACTAGACAGCAGTCTCACTTTGGCCATATGGCCACCCCAGCCTAGGAGCAAAAGGCGGTGCCCTCAGGGCTTCCAAACACACGGACAAAGACCTGGGGAACCTCTCCCATTGACACTTGCTGGTCACAAGGCTCTTGCTCTTGCTCTACAGGAGGCTGAAGGAAACCCCCCTGTTATACACACAGCAATGAGGACTCCCTCCGTGTGGGCAGAGGAGAGACCCAGCACTGCAGGGACGAGGTGTCTGTGGACGTTCCCACTGGAGCAAAGAACGTCGGCAGGCGCAACTCTGCCATAGACGGAGTCATCTCCACTTGAGCAAGCTGGATTCTCCGCAACCTCAGACACCCCTTAACGTCAGTGGACGTGACCCTGACTCTGTGAGAGACCCCTGGACAGGGAGACAGACGGGGTGTCCCTCGACTGGACCCCCGGGGTGAGATTCATCCCAACTGCGGTGGGATATGCAAGATACTTAGGTGGAGAGGAGACTGGGGAGAGAAGCAGGCTGAAGGGTTTCACTCCAGCTAGTTGTCTAAAAAGCTACGCAAATTATATATTAACAAATGAAGTATGAGACTTTCACAAGTTTCTAATGAGTTTCCAAACCCATTTTTTTCCATTGGAAACTGAATGCCCATCTCCATAAAAGACTTTTGATAAGCTCCTGCCAAAGGTTGTTTGAAACCAAGTCAACGAATCAGCACCAGAGCAAACATTCTCGATTAACGTTAAACATTGAGATAAGAGGAACAGGCAATTGAAGGGAACATGTAAGCAAATGGATTTATATTACACGAGGAATAAAAGATTTCCCTCCCAACATGCTCCTCAGAGCTGTTTTCACCTCCTTGTTTTTCAGGCTGTAGATGAGGGGGTTTAACATGGGGGTTAGGATGCCGTACTGGATGGGTAATACCCTGTCTAGAACCACTGAGGAGGCCGAATTGGGTCTCAAGTATCTAAATAAAGCAGTCCCATAGTATAAAGTGACAACAATGAGGTGGGAGCTGCAGGTGGAGAAGGCTTTCCGGCGGCTCTCCACGGAGCGCATCCATAGGATGGTAGAGATGATCCGCACGTAGGAGATCAGAGTAGGGGGGAATGCAATCAATCCTAAAATAGCCGCTGAAGAGGTAAAGACTATTTCATTGATGAGGGTCTCTGTGCAGGATAAGTCCAACAGGGATGGGAGCTCGCAGCTAAAACCGCTGACTTGGTTTGGCCCACAGAACTGTAAATATGACACAGGAACGGTGTTGACCAGTGAATAAATGAAGCTGATAGACCAGGCACCACCCACCAACTGACTGCAAACATGTAGGTTCATAGTTGTGGCGTAATGCAGCGGGTGGCATATGGCAGCGTATCGGTCATAAGCCATGGCGGAGAGCATGAAAATTTCAGTGCAGCCTGTCAGAAGAATGAAGTACATCTGCACCAGGCAGCCATTGAAAGAAATCGTTTTCTCATCCGTTAAAAAAATCTTCAGCATGTTAGGAAGAGTGATGGAGGAATAGCAGATATCCAGGATGGACAAATGAAACAGGAAAAAATACATGGGGGTGTGAAGGTGAGGGTCAGTCTTTATCACCAGCATAATCAGCATGTTCCCCAGAAGTGTGATTAAGTAAATAATTAAAAACACAAAAAAGAGGAAAGTCCGGAGTTGTGGATCTTTGGGAACACCCGAGAGAACAAAATTGTTGATAGAAGTTTTGTTCTCCATTGATGCTTATTCAGCAAAGTTTTCACCTGTAACGATAGAAAAATATGTAAAAAGTAACAAATGAAAATAAAATAAATAGAATTTTAGTTTGCAGGTAAGGATAGCTAGATAGGTGTATGGGGATAGATAGATAGAATTGGAAGGGACCTTGAGAAGTCATAAAGTCCAGTCTCCTGCCGTCACAGCAGGACCAGGCATCTCTGAGGTTGTCTATCTAACCTGCTCTTAAATATCTCAAATGATGGAGATTTTACAACCCCCCTAGACAATTTATTACCGTGTTTAACCACCCGGACAGGCAGGAAGTTTTTCCTAATGTCCAACCTAAACCTCCCTTGCTGCAGTTTAAGCCAATTGGTTCTTGTCCTATTCTCAGATGCCACAGAGAACAATTTTTCTGCCTCCTCCTTGTGACACCCTTTTAGGTACTCGTGACTAGAAACCAGATTTATTCTACACGGGGGCAGAACAAATGTTAGCTAAAACTTTTTATCTTGGGTGGCTACAGTTAGACACAGAAGCCACATGTAGGCAACTCTTGGTTAATTGGCTTGAACTTCAGAGACGCTACGCCAGATTCAACATAAAAAATGCTGGTGTTCAAAATGCTGATCAAAATGCTGATAAACAGATTCCTCATTTTGAATGATGGTGTAATGATTTCATGGAGAAACTTTTTTTTAAATTCCAATTATTCCATTTGTTCAATGTCAATCCAGAGAGAGAGAGAGAGAGAGGAGAAATGATTAGATAGATAGATAGATAGATAGATAGATAGATAGATAGATAGATAGATAGTGTAGGAAGAGAGAGAGAGGGAGGGAGAGATAGGTAGATAGATTCAAAACCCATAACATGATCTTTTTCAGCATTTAAAGTTAGCAAGTGACTTTATTAGAGTACTTAATTTTCAGATTACTAAAACCAACTTTTTTTCTAAGATTGGATTTGATTTCCCCACTCAAAGAAACAATACAAACAAAACACAAAAGGAAACAAACAATTCTTCACATTTTTTAAACGATCTTTCCTTTGCAAAAAAATGGCATTTTTTTGGCCAACTATTACTACTCATGCTGATGATGGCTGGATTAAACATGTGTTTTTGGATTGTCCTGCAAGAAAGACAATCTAGAAGCATGGGCTATATGGTGCTATTGACATCAACTACAGATGCCATTGTCTTCAATAGAACAAGGATTTCACATGGTTCAGACAAACCATCCTCCTGTCTTTTTGTCTACAAAAAATGAGCCTCTACATATCTACAACACCACCACATTGGAATATTAATATTTTCCACCAGCTATGTAGTGAATTATGCTGCATTATATATACAGACAAAAGTTTCTAGGCAGGGAAAAACCAATTATTCAGATTTTTGATTCAAGGGAACTGCTTCAATTTACATCAATTAAAGAACCAACCTGGTTTATTTCCCAAATTACTTGGTTTGGAAATTATCTACTCACCAAAAGAGTGGATCCAGGCTTCGTGCTTTCTCTTTACCATTGCTAGGCGTAGTACCACAGTCCTGTACCGCAATGCCTAGACTGATTAGTCAGCACAAGGGCTATAATACTCAACTCGTCTTTTGTGTTTTTTCCATTTTGTCTCAGCCTGACCACCTAACTTAGCACATGAGTGAAAGGTTCCCAAAGTCAGTAGAGTGAGTACCTATTGTGTTCTTTCTGGGCAGTGCTACCCAGGTGTAATAATCTTTCCTTTGCGATGTGATTGCAAAAAAATAACTTGTTGATATTCTAGGCTTTCTCTTCTTGCCTCTGCAATTCTCCTGAAAATTAGGACTTGTGTTGTGCAAATTGGATCTCTCTGTGGGTCTGTCTTCACACGTATCAATCACCATCTCTCTCTTTATCTCTGCAATATCTCACTTTCATTCAGCCTTCCCTCTATGTCTCCCAAACAGAGTATCTCAAAACATCAGGTAGTCCTTACCCTGAAAAGTCGGTTACTACATGGAACTGGATCGTGATATATAGTTCAGGTCTGTGCCGCACTCCTGTTGGAAACAGAACTTTTTTAAAAAAAATGTCCTGACTCAAAGAACAAGAGTTAATTATTTCTGAGGAGTCTAAATATGTTCTGGCTTTTCCTCTGGGACACCTGTCTCTTGCTTAACAGGCTAGCTGTTCATTGGATTGGGAATGAAGGGGTATTTTACAGTGCACAATATGGCAGATTTACAAAGATCAATGTGCTTTTTCCTTGATGTATCGATTTGTCTATGGATCCTCAAATAAAATCAATCCCTGCAGTTCCCCTACAGCAGTTGACACTGCACCGATTATACCAGCTCAATAACTGACCTGGTATTTTGACCAACTGGGCACATTATGCCAGTGATGTGTTCGAGTTGGCTTCTTTCTGCCTAGCATTGAGACTTCTCTACCCTCTCCCTCTTGCCACAGAATTGGAGCTCCTCACTATTGTTAATATAGGTATCCCCACCCCTACCCCCGTGAGTTAGCTAAGTGCCACCCGCCCAATGTAGAGTTGGGAAACTGAGGCACAGGGACACTAAATGACTTGCCCAAGGTCACATAGGAAGCCTGTAGCAGGGCAGCGATTTTCGCTCAAGTCTTCTAAGTCACTAACCAGGATCTGAATCAATCGTTCACCTTTCCGTGTGGTTTCCCCTCGGGAGGAATCAGCCACAACCATGAATTAGGGCTGGATTCACTCTTCTGGGGCCCGGGGATAGTAGTTTTTGTGGAGCATCCACAAAAATGAGGGGTTCAGTGTGTGGGGAGTGGGCTGCAGGGTTGAGTGTAGGCTGGGGGAGTGGAAGCAGGATGCAGGGGTGAGCGGGGGTGGGC